AAAACGGGACTTTCCTCAGGTGAACGCAGAGAAGACAGACGTGATGAAGATACCCAACCAACAACAGCATCATTAACAAGCACCAATCACCATGAAGGAGAGAAACCTAAAGGAAGTAGTCTCTTTCACCTGCCTAGGCAGGGCAGGACCGTTTCAACTGCAGGCAACGGTGGCGGCACAGACGAGGGTGTCAAAACCAGGATAGGGAAAGCAAGACAGGCCTTCCTTCGTTAACCTGAAACCAGTGTGGAGATCTACTGCACTCCACTCAGCCTGCACAAAGCGTGAACAACATCCGGATTTCCAACACCAATGTCACTCAATTCAGTGCTGCTATATGATTCAGAGACTTGGCGTGTCATGAAAAGCATTTCCAACAAACTACAGACACACATTCATCAACAACTGCATACACTGGCTCCTTACTGAAGCTCAGATGGATGGCCAGAATGGTGAGAATAAGCAACAAGGAACTCACTGTGGCTGGCTGTCAGCGAACCAACCAACAACCTATCACTGAACAAATATGCAGTGGAAGGAAGTGGAGATGGATGGGATTGGGCATACACTGAGAAGGCAGACTGGGGACATCACGTGCCAGGCCAGGTATTCAAGTGGAACCCAGATGGGAAGTGACGAGTTGGGCATCTGAGGTGAGAGTGACATGGAGTAGATGATGTGAGGAAGAAATGAGAACTTGTGGACAGTGATGGCTCCAGGTTGAAAATATTTCAGAGAACAGAGTGGAATGGATATGTGCTACTGAAGCCCTATGTTCCATTAGGAACCCGAGGGATAATAATAATTAGAAGACGAAGTTTATCTCAGCAATACATTGCACAGTACGTTTCTAGCAATCTGATCACACTAATATAGGTGTTAAACTTGGGCACTGTGGTAGAATTTAATTCCATATTAGATTTGTTTATTTGATTTATAACACACAGTAGTGATCTAGTATTATTTACTTGATGACGTTTTGAGCATAAGTTATTATCACCCATAATCATATCAGTGTAATCACACTCCACTTTCGACATCCGATTTTTATAGTTATGTCACTTTATGTGAGTTGTTTTTATTGGTAACAAAAGTTTCCATATCTCTGGTATAAGTGTTGCGTCATTTTTATTACATTTGTTGGCTGCTGGCTGATTTGATGAACAAAGATTCTGTAAATGCGAAAATTCCCATTTAGACATTTAATAAAACAAACAATGTGAGCGAAGAAATATTTCTTCTCAATTATTACTTCCTCATCAATGAATAGCTCTATACTAATATAGCATTTTCAAACGTAATATTATTACATACCAATCTAGTGGTGAGAGTTTTTCAATGAAAGGTTATCAATCTCAAAGTATCAAGAAGGTGATAATTGATCAGGTAATTAAGACAGTTAACTAAAGCAAAGATTAATTATCGTAGAAAGATTTTGCGAACAGGTTCTTACATAATTGATATTTTATATAATGATAACTAAAGAGCAAAAATGAACTGTTACGTAAAATGGTAAATTGTTGACGGTAATTAGAGACAGTAGGGGGAGAGAAAGATGATTAAGTCTGTAATAATAATAATTATAATAATAATAATAATAATAATAATAATAATAATAATGGAGCTATTAAAATATTAGTTATAGTGAATTTTGTGGTGGATGAAATGAAGAGTCTTGTTGTAATAAATGAGCTATACAGATGGCCAAGGCAAAGAAAGGAGCTGTACGAATCTCTTCTGAACACACAGACTTGGCTTGTGTAGGTGGATTCCTATGGCCTCTGCTGTATGTAAAAGACGAACTCGTAGAGGATGGGTGAGGTGAGAAGGAATGTGATAAATAACTTTAAAGGCATTATGAATGTTAACTCGGTGGCCGGTGTCAATCAGATGAGAGAGTATTGAGCTTCGTGTCAGTCTGGTTTCCCCCTTACTTAGCCATGAAGGATGATGCTCGGCGATTCGACGACGGACTTGCCTAACTGTACGTCCAATGTAACTAGCTCCACAGGAGCAGTTGAACTGGTAAATGCACATAGAAGAGGAGAAGTCAGGGAGTCTGTCTTTAGTTCGTGTGGTCATCATCGGCCGGCTGTAGAAAACACAACATAACTTGGCGGCATTAAATGATCTTCTTATGGCATTTCTTAAGCGTTGTGTCACAATTTCGCTGATGATGTCACCTCGAAATTGTAGTCTTAGGAACAATGGTTTCTTGGAGACTGTAGGCATTCTGGTTTTCATATTGGATGTGTTCATATTTTTAGCCAGGAACGTTTCTGGATATCCATTACTACTGAGTAGATCGTGGATAATTTGAAGCTCTTCGTCAAAACTATCATCTGAACAGATGAGTCTCGCCCGATGGACCAAACATTTAACGAGATTTCGTTTATATTGCAAGGGGACGAAACTCAAGAAGTGGGTGTATTGACCTGTTGACGTTGGTTTCCGATACACACTTCTTTTTATAGTTCCATCCACCTTCCTTGTCAATCGGACATCTAAGAAGGTGATGATGTCGTCACTTTCTGTTTCAATAGTGAAGGTTATTGCTGGATGGACGCCATTGAATTCATCCAGTATGATCCTTGCATCGTCCTCGTTATTCACAATCAAGAATGTATCATCTACATAACGGTAATAAAATTCTAACCCGCTTTCTACGATAATTAATCTTTGCTTTAGTTAACTGTCTTAATTACCTGATCAATTATCACCTTCTTGATACTTTGAGATTGATAACCTTTCATTGAAAAACTCTCACCACTAGATTGGTATGTAATTCTACTTTTGAAAATGCTATATTAGTGTAGAGCTATTCATTGATGAGGAAGTAATAATTAAGAAGAGATATTTCTTCACTCACATTGTTTGTTTTACTAAAGACTCTGTAATCAATCCCTCTCTTTCCACCTAACTATATTGGACTTAAGTACAGTACAGTGGCTTTATCCCACCCACCCTATTGTGTAGTTGTATACTTGTTAATGCATTCATTGCAGAAGCGAAGCTTTTTTAATATAGATTATTGATCTTATTTAGGTCTGTTATTCTATATTTAGCTAAATTCCTATGTTCAGCTTTTCTAACTGAACCCGACCGACTAGTTTGACCTATGTAGTTGACCTCATAGTCATTACATGGAATTTGATAAATTAAATTATTTTGCTTAATTGGTTCTATCGGATCCTTAAGCCAACAAAGTTTATCTCTGAGTGAGTTTGTAGGTTTAAATGCCACCCTAATTGCAGGTCTATTGAGGATTCTACGTAGAGTTTCTGAGGTACCCTTCTTATAGGGTAACACAATGGAGGCTATGAACTCCTTTTTACTCGTGTTGTCGTTATTAGTCGTACTCGTGTGACTGTTATTTTTTCGTTTTCTGTGTGTCTGTAAGAATTTCTTAATAAACTGCGGAGGATAATTACTAACTATTAACGCTTGTTTTATGTGTTTCAATTCCTTGTTTAAGTTCTTCCTCTGACTAGTCAGTTTTCTAGCTCTATCATTCAGACATTTGACTAATCCTGCCTTAACTGATATTGGATGGGATGATTTGAAGTCTAGATACTTGTTGGAATGTGTTGGTCTTCTGTAGACAGAAGTAGTATCCAAGCCACCGTCTGTTCTTCATTTTATTCTGCAATCCAACATAGGTAATCCTCCTTGTTCATTTTCTGCCTCGTAAGTGAATTGGGTTGCACCTACTACTGAGTTTATATGCATCAGGAAATTGTCGATATGTTCCGATTGCAACACAATGGTGAATATGTCATCCATATATCGTCAGCATATTTTTGGTGCAGGACTAAACGTTTATCAAGCCACGTTTTCCCAACTATTCCTAAATATATCTGCTATGAATGGGGATATTAGTGATTAAATAAACAGATCTAATATGGAATTAAATTCTACCACAGTGCCCAAGTTTTACGCCTACATACGTTTTCCCCCCTAATTTTGTGTCTACGCTCAAAGATTACCGTTGGAGAAAACTCTTGTCAATAGCTACATTTACACCAGGGACCTCCTGAAAGGGTCATCTGATACATAACCCAAGTGTTTACATCTTTCTAATGTTAAAACAACTAACGTCAAGTAAAAGACTGATCACGTTGTGTCGTAATATCTGCATAACCTACTTTTTATTATTCCGTTACCTTAACTGGATAAGATTCGAATCAGATTGACGATTATCAGGTGTATAGTTGATTGACATTATTATAATTATTACTTTTCCCTTGGGTTCCTAGTCGAACATAGGGCTTCAATAGCACGCCTCTATTCCACTTTGCCTTCTGCAATCTTTTCAAACTGACTCCACGACTGCGCAGAACCTTTCATTTCTTCCTCACATTATCTCCTCCATGTCACCCTCACCTTGGAGGCCCAACTTGCCGTTTCCTATCTGGGTTTCACTCGACAACTTGGCCTGGCGCGTGATTGGTTTCTAAAGATTTCAAATTTAAACACTTCTAATATGATACACCCTCCCTCTCTTTTTCTATCATTAGATTCCAAACGATCTACACGTCATCATCGTGATGATAAACACCGACCACTATCTTATATTGCAGTTACACCAGTTCATCTCAGTTTCGCTAGACCTGTTGTAATATTGGGCTATATGAAAGATAGAATTGCTGATGAATTATTATGTGATTTCCCTGATCTCTTTGGGACAGCTATTCCATGTAAGTAAATTATTTGATAATATTCTGAATATATATCTAACTTGATTTCATAGACTGACATCAGTTGAAGGAATATTAAAAACCTGAGAACACTGGACGGCAAATGTTTTGTCCCGTTGTAGGACTCCTCAGAAGTGCATACCCATGGGATCGAACCCAGAAAATTTAGGTTCCGTGACCAGCACGTTACCATTGAACCACTGGGTCAGCGAAATCCAGTGGTTTACGTTTCTTACGTCAGTCAACTCACGATGTAGCTTGACCTACACCCAGTGTCATTGTCAATTAACTTTTCTCATGCTCAACTTGGTTAACTCCATTGGTCATGACTTTTCATTGGAACTTCAAGAATCACCTCTAGATGCTAGTCACTAATAAGCCCTAGATTAATTCTATCTGGAGGTTTGGAGAGATTTATTGATTGATTTAGGTTGGAATTCCTCATGGAGTGATGTTAGTTCTTGTTGATGCTGAGTTTACTTACTATTTTCCTAAAAACGCAAGTTATGTAAGCCAATCAACAAATAACATTTGTAAATTTATCTGACTACATTTTGAATTGATAAAAATACTGACAACATTATTATTACTATTATTTGCCGCTTGGGTTCCTAGTGGGACATAGGGCTTCAGTAGCTCATATCCATTCCACTCTGTTCTCTGAAATATTTTCAACCTGGCTCCACGACTGCGCAGAAACTCTCCTTTCTCCCTCGCACAATCTCCTCTATGTCACCCTCACCTCGGACGCCCAACTCGTCGTTTCCCCTTCGGATTCCACTCGAGTGCCTGGTCTGGCCTGGTGCGTGATGTCCCGAATGGTTTTCTCAGTGCATGCCCAATCCCATCCATCTCCACTTCCTTCCACTGCATATTTGTTCAGTGATAGGTTGTTGGTTGGTTCGCTGCCAGCCAACCACAGTGAGTTCCTTGTTGCTTATTCTTATTATTCTGGCCATCCATCTGAGCTTCAGTAAGGAGCCAGTGTATGCAGTTGTTGATGAATGTGTGTCTGTAGTTTGTTGGAAATGTTTTTCATGACACGCCAAGTCCCTGGATCATATAGCAGCACTGAATTGAGTGACATTGGTGTTGGAAATCCGGATATTGTTCACGCTTTATGCTGACTGCAGTGTAGAAGATCTCCACACTGATTTCAGGTTAATGAAAGCCTGTCTTGCTGTATTTCCGATCCTGGCTTTGACTTCCTCGTCTGTGCCGCCACCGTTGCCTGCAGTTGAAACGATGCTGACTAGATAGATGACTGCCATTGTATGCTCTGTTCCATGATGATGCGTAGCGTTGCAATTTGGTCCGCACATGATTTGTACTTCCAAAATCCAGCCTGTTCTATTCGTAATTTTTAATCCAGAGCATCCTTTAGTCTCTCCAGGATGATGCAGCTTAATATTTTGCTTGAGTTGGACAGCAGAATGGTTTCGCACCAGTTCTTGCAAAGACCTAGGTTGCCCTTCTTCGGGAGTTTGACAACGTAGCCCTTCTCGCAATCGATCCGCAGGTACCTTTCCTTCCTTCCACACCTTCTGCAATAGTTGTATGAGCATGTCCGCTGTTGTATGTGCGTCTGTTCTCAGTGGTTCTGGTGGGATTCCATCTGGTCCTGCTTCTCTCTCGATTTCAGTAACTTTATGGCTTCCACGACTTCAACTTTCGTCGGAGGTCTTATGTTCACTTGTAGTTCTGTTGCTAGGCTGTTGGTGTTATTTCTGGACGAAGTGCAGATGGTGGTCGGTTCGTGATATAATATACATTCTATATACAGAAGAACGTTTTTAAAATGTTTAGATGATTATCCCAAGAGAAGATTGGCATATCTTTGATGAAACTGCTGTTTGTCTGTTATTATTTTGATACTTAATCCCTTGGTTATTCATATGAAGGTAGTCAGTATATGATTTTGTTAATGAATACAAGTGTAAAGTTGAATTAATTAATATCTGATGTAAAAATTGAAATGAATAGATGATTCTTTCTTTATCCAAAAATGAAAAAAGGATCAACTTGTCAGAAGATATTATAATTAGTAATCCCAATCTAGAAGTTATTGTTTTATGATAGAATTTCCTATTAATTTCCTTATTTGTCTAGTCTACTCATTGATAAAGATTGTAAAACGCTGCCAAAATTTCAAAATAGGCGCATAATATAGTGTAAGCACATTGTATATTTCTAGACTACAGGGGGATACTGGTGTTGTGTTTTGATTAAATTCGATAGATAGAAGGGAAAAAAAACCTTTTCAATAAATTTTCGTCTTTTCTACGCTTTATACCTTTCCATTGAATTGAAGAGGAAGAAACATTTCAGTAAGATATGACAATATGCTTCGTCGAACAATAATTCTCAATGGATTCTAGTCAAAACAAATTACATAAGATTAGCAATTATATATACGAAGCATGAATAAATAAGTGTGAGTTGAAACTATGTAGTGAAGTATAATGTAACAAAGTGAGTTATAAGTTTTCCGAATATAGGTGGGGGAATAGGAGATGTGTAACCAAGTTGATCACGTTTATTCAATGACCACATGGAAATTGAGAAACTGCTTTTCGGTTTCAAGAACTAGAAATTTTACAGTTTTGGAGGATGAATTAAGAGCAATGAATGGAAAGATTGCTCCAGAGAACACCACTTCTCAAGGATTTTTGCACGCACTCATTCCTTGAATCACGTGTACAGAATACAAACTAATATTGCCTGTCACTTCCATAAGGATAGGTAAGTACAAGGCATGTATCAGCAAAGAAGAAGCATTTCTTTCCAACGACTTCATTATCAAGCTGTACAGTCGTAATTATACTCGGTAAAGTGACAGATAATTGCACTAAAAAGGGAGTTGCTCAGTCAATATGCAAAATATACAATCGATGTAGGTGTGTGGTATTTGTTCAAGTGGAACAGATAGAAAATGGGTCATTGAATAATGAGGGACGAATGGATAACAAGTGGTGAGATAAGAGACAAGTGTTGTCAAAGAATTGTAAATTGGTGATAATCCAGCTGATACGTGATAGGAGATGTGTAACCAAGTTGATCACGTTTATTCAATGACCACATGGAAATTGAGAAACTGCTTTTTGGTTTCAAGAACTAGAAATTTTACAGTTTTGGAGGGTGAATTAAGAGCAATGAATGGAAAGATTCCTCCTGAAGACACTATTTCAATTCCTAAATGAAGCGAAACGTGTATCCTTATTTCCACTACTAGCCACTACCCATCGTTTCCTGACTTCCTTTGGAAGATGATGTAACTTCTTGTTAGCTACTACAAATTAATTCTAAAGAACTGTGTCCGCTGTCAATTAAACGTTGTTACATGGAGCTAGTAATCGATCTCCATTGATCATTACTGAATCATGTTGGAAGGTGTTGACATCAACGTGGGACAACCTGTTTCTGGGAGCCGCCCATGTGCTTAAATCGACGGCAGAGTCCCTCAGAAAAATTTAACCATGAATCTAGAATTCAAAGGAGACACCATAGCCGAATTGCTAAAAAACCGTCTGTCAAGATGTACCAATAGTAGCTTATATGCTGCTAGACTGAGATTGATATTCTCCAGCCGCCGTCTGATTCGTCGGTGCGTGAAGGATAGGCTTCCACTTATGTCCACATCTATGTGTATCTACAAGTTCATATGCTCCTGTGGAGCTGACTGTATTGGACGTTGTAAACAGGCCCTCTGAAAACGTGTTGCTGAACACTACCCGGTTCGGCTTACCACAGGCGAGCAAAGGAAAACGACTTCATCCATATGTGAACACCTTGTTGAATTGGGTCACTCAGCACCTCAATATTCATCCTTTAAAATTATTTACAAAGTTAAATTGAACTACTTCTTATTCCCCTTTTTTCGTTGAATTGAATAAAAACTCAATTTCTGATGTAGGGAATTAATGTAAGTGTTACCCGATTATTTTCATTATTGGGTGATTTAGTCTCTTTACAGACTGTAGAAGAACTGAATTCATCATTTCTCTTCCCTTGTAAACATTTTGTCATCAGTGAGTAACTGAGATTTGTCAATCACGTTTGAACTGTGCCTACTATGCTAAGTTTGATGATATTATGGTGGAGTTCATTTTATTATTGTTGAAACCAGGATTTCCTATAGACTGACTCCTAGCATCATCATCATCATCGCTTCTTCGTTTTTTTTTATACAAATGAACAGTGACTAGTTTTTAGCTGGATGTACCTGGATCCCAGTGAGTGATGTTTTTCCCATTGACGCTTGAACCTAATACCCTTCACTCCAAAGTTTGAGCTATTCGGCCCTGTATAGCAATGGGAAATTACAACACTTGGATGACAGTTGTTGAGATAATCAATACACTGTCATACATGATCCTACTTTGTGAATTTCTTTTCAAGTGATAGCTGACTCCTAAAGGTGTCAGATCAATGACATTGTAAGCGGTGAAGAAAGATATGGTGATTGTGTGGGTATTTGTGAGGGATATATATATATATACTTTCTTTAATGTACTTGTGGTTTATAAAATATGATTTATGGAAAAGATTTTCTGCTTAAACTGTTTGTTACCTAGTAAGCAGTTTTACTTTATCATTATTAATTTCTCACTCGGTTTCATATGAGATAAATAGTAAATTGAATGATTTTATTTAGATACAACTAGATCACGTCGTCCAAATGAAATTGAAGGTCGTGATTATCATTTTGTTATCAGTCGAGAGATAATGGTTGCAGATATAGCTGCAGAAAAATATTTGGAAGCTGGAGAATACAATGGCAATTTATATGGTACTCATTTAGACTCTGTATTTGAAGTTTCTCAACTGGGTTTACATTGTCTATTGGATGTTGGTGGGCCAGCATTGAAACGTTTAGAATCAGCTGGACTTCCACCAATAGCAATTCTCGTCCTGCCTGAAACAGTACCAACTGACATAGATAATGAGAATGAACATTCACCGTCTTCCAATGAATGTGGTAAAAATAATAGGTCAAGACTGAAAAAGTCTGCCTCTGTAGAATCTGCAGCATTCAAAGACCTACAAGTTAAACTTGGTCGACTGTTACAACATTTCACTTCCTTTTTAACCGGTACGTTTTTATTCATGAATCTTTGTTAAACTTGTGTTATTTTCAATAAAAATAAATTAGAACGATTACTTTGAAGTTAAAGATTGATGTGATTTAGTCAAAGAGTCTTTAATTCAGAGTGGTGCAACACTTTTTGGATTATAGATCTTAAATTATACAAAGATTTATCAGCGAGGACAATACAAAGTCATCATCGTCAATATCAACATAAGACGACCAGGCATTACTGCATAATAGTTCGAGTTGGCACACCTCATACCAACACACCAAGTAAAAAGGCAATGAAGTGGAAGATGAATAAGGAAAGAAAATTCAGTCAAAAGAAATGTAAAGTACGAGAACAGAGAGAGGAAGAATGAGAAAATGATGAGATTCGGTATGATGTGGTTAAGATGGGGATAATGTGTGTATACATCTTCGCCAAATGACAGCGGTTCTTAGCTCTATTGCCTAGGTAGATGAAAGAGACTACTTTCTTTAGGTTCCTCCCATTCATGGTCATTGGTGCTTGTTAATGATGCTGTTGTTGGTTGGGTATCTTCATCACCTCTGTCTTCTCCACATTCACTTGAAGTCCCGTTTTCTCTGCTTCTTCTGTTAACTTGTTAGTTTTCACCTGTAGATCTTCGAGTTTGTGCAGCATTAGTCATAAATCATCGGCGAAATCCAAATCTTCTAGGCTCTTTCCATCGGCTAAGCCAGCGTATGCCCATCTTCTTGCTCCTCACAGTTTTCTGTCCCATGATCCAGTAGAATTCAGTCGACCACAACCAGGAAGGTCATAGGTGATAGTAGGTGGCAACCTTGTCTTACTCCTGTCTTCACTTCAAAGACAGCACTCAGCTTTCCATTGTGGACCACTTGGCATGTGGCGTCTTCATATAGCTGTTAAATGAGGTTGATAAAGATTTGTGGCACTGAAACCGCAGTGTTGAAGCAGCTGCGTGACAAATTACTTATCGGTCGACGCTGTTGAAGGCATTTTCAAAGTCGATGAAGTTGAGGTAGAGTTGACTTGACTGCTATTCTATACTGTGTTCTATAAATGTAGACAATAAATCATTTTTAAACCACAGTAATAACTTCAAAGTCATCTTCACAACGAACTGAGGACATTTGAAGAAGCGTTAGATATCTGGGAGCATTAAAACTCTTTCTTCTCTGTTGTTATTGTCTACTCAACAGTACTCAAGTGAGTTTTAGCAAGAAATATAGTTCATAATGACCCCATATCTCATATGTATTGCCTTTTTAGCCATTTAGCCATTATGTTACAATTCAATTATTCGAATATCTTATACTTGTGAGTGACTATCGAATATCATCGATGAATAACGATGTTCAATCACTACTTGATTAACTTGTCAAGTATCATTAACAGTAAGAAGACAATATGATAAAATTTACTTTCTTCTTCTCTCTGCCTTATACACTATAAGTTGGATTTATTTTGTGAACCAGTGTATCTCAACTGATATTTAAGTGTAAACAAGTTGATGTATAACTTTCATTCTATATTTTGTCTTCAATTTCAACCTTAGTATAACTTTAACAAATTATACGATATAGATTACTCTGTGTGTTATAACCTCCATATTTCTTAATGGTTGCCATTGTGAATATGAAAATCATGTTCATTATGAAAGACACTTTCATTCAATCATTCGTTCAACATTATTGAAATCGATTAGGATTGATTGGATAAATTTAGTCTTGGAATATGATTGATGAATTTGATAGAATGTTAGTAACAATGTATACAGTTTTATTGAACTGTACACCATCTACTGAGATTTATAAAGATCCATTCATTTCACCATGATTCGATATCAATATCAGAAGGATTCTGTTTAATGATCTCCTGATGGTATATTATGATGAATCATTGAGATATATGCCACCTAGATGGCTCAGTAGTGACGTCTATGACTACAATGCTAAGTGATGAGGTTTTGAGTTTCAGGTGGGATATCGGTTCCATCCAGGTTGCTTCATAATGATAAACTGTGATAACTTATGTGAATATACATGCTTTGAAAATCTAACTAGGTGTTTTTCACTTGATACTTGTGAACATCAGTGTTGTATGCATAGAAATTGATAAACATTTTGTGAGAAGCCTCAGATGCCTAGAGCCCTTTTCAACCAATCGCTTAGCTTCAAAGTTTCGGGGAAAAACATGAGAACCAACATATCAGGTATCAGGTTGGTTGAAGAGGTAAAAAATGAATAGGATTTGAATGTAGAAATGCCTGGAAAATAGCCAAGGCTATTGTAATATACATTATTATTATTTATTATTTATACATTGGGTTCCCAGTGGAACATAGGACTTCAGTAGCACATCTCCGTTCCACTCTGTTCTTTGCAGTCTTTTCAACCTGGTGCCGTGACTGCCCACAAGTATTCATTTCTTCATCACATGATCTTCTGCATGTCAATCTCGGAAGCTCAAGTCGTCGTTCCCTTTTCGGATTCTACTCAATAGCATGGCACCGGATGTCCCCAATGGGCCTTCTCAGTGTATGCCCAATCCATCTCCACTTTCTTCCACATATTTTTTGGGTAATAGGTTCTTAGTTGGTTCATTCCCAGAGTTTCTTATTCCTTATTCTTTTTGGCCATCTGATCTTCAGTACCGAGTGAGCGTTGGCGGTAGCTATTCATGTATGTCTGTAAGTTGTTGGAAATGCTTTTCGTGACGCGCCAAGTTTCTGAACCATATAGCGGCAGTGACTTGACTGGATTGGTGTTAAAAATCCGGATCTTGTTTTTTATATTGAGCTCAGTGCAATAGATCTCGACACTGATTTAAGATTAATGAAAGCCTATCTTGCTTTTCCGATCCTGGCTGCTTTGATGTCCTCGTCTATGCGGCCACCAACTGTGGTAGAAACGATGTTCCTCTGCCTAGGTAGATGAAAGAGACAACTTCTTTTAGGTTTCTCCCATTGATGGTGATTGGAGCTTGTTGCTGGTGGTGGTGGCGTTGATTGGGTATCATCACTTGAATTTTCGTTTTCGCTGCCTCGCCTATTTTGTCAACTTGTCAGTTTTTGCCTGTAGCTCTTCGAGTTTGTACAACAAAACATTAGACACAGGTCATCAGCGAAAATTGTTATATACATAAACCTTGTAATTTGTATATATATATATTGCTGATGTTGGCATTGATGTTGTTAGTACACTGTGTGTTATAGTACCACCTTTTTCCATCATGGAATAAATGAGCGACCACCAAGGATGGAATTTGAAATTATTTTCACACGCACCCTCATCTAGGTAGTAGTTGGCGCACATATATAACTCAGGCATCATCTTTTCACTGATAAAGATATAAAAAGTGATAACTGTAGGTGTGTATAACCGTGTTAATATAAACTATCTACTTGTGGAACCGAACATTTGAGAAATGCTTCGATCACGTTTACCCGGCAGTTTTGATTACCTACCGATATCTACATCCTCTGTGTGTATATTCTGTCTGTATTAGTGTGTCTAACTAGGATACTGACAACATCATAATTTATCTTAGTTAACTATTAGAATAGTTCACTGGGATTTATTTTCAGTTTACTTTCTTTTCTCTGTTTATTTTTTTTTCTTATTCAATTGTTCCTTCTTATTGAATGTAGCTATAATCACTACAGACGATTATGATACTGCTTATAATCGAGTAAAAGAAGTCATCTTTAGTAATGCTGGACCTATTGTATGGCTAAATTCACCTCAACGAATTCCATGAGAGAAGAAAGAAACAGTAGACAATGAGTAGAACATCATAGCTAACTATGTTGCTGCAAATCTTGTGATAATCAACTATCTTTTTCATACTAAAGATACGTTTTGTTAATAATTGTGATTGATAATCTATACACTGAAGACAAGAATGATGAAGGTAGTTTATACGGTTCTTCCATGTTTCATTGTTGTTTGTTGATACGCATTTATTTTGTTTTAGGTGAAGTAATGTGAGTTTTTTCATCCCCAATATCAATGTGTCTCTCATTGGTAAACACACACACACACACACACACACAGAGAAACACAAATGGTTTCATCATGTGAAGTAATTAACTTTTCTTCTTCTGGGTTTACTTTCATCCTCAACACCACTGGGTTTTTAAAAAAATCCTAATTGTTTTGTTATCATGTATGTATTGTAGACGAGTTGGTAGTAATAACGCTGTATTGAATTGATAGAATGATTAACTACTGACAAATGAATTCAGTAGTTATGAAGTAATAAACTCAAAAAGGAAATTGAATAATGTGGATAGCCTGAAGCTGGTTATAAAGTTGACGCATACGCCTTTATTTTTGTACTCCCAACTATGATATTCATTGTACATTTTTATCTCCTAAAGAACTGACAGAAAATAATGTGGATCGAAGAATAGTCTCATGAATATGTTAACTTATTATAGTATAGTATAGTCGAAGTGGTGATATACGTACATGTGTGCGTGCGTGCGTGCGTGCATCCATTGCATACGAATGCTATCCAAGATTATTTTGTTTTTTATATTACAGTCATCAAAGATAGTTTTCCTTGCAGACTTCTGACTAGATTTGTAGAGATGTTCACCTTCTTCTCTTATTGTTCTCATACGATGATTCATATTCTAATGATAGGCGACGACAAGCTGATTGATGAAATGGGATGGTGTCATTTATCACAACAAAACTGCCTCTCATTTTTTTCTTTTGTAATTCCTAGCTCTACTCATTCTTTATCCATTGTACATATTATATGTGTTTACATAACTTGATTGTTGACAATTATGAAATGTATTCGCATGCTTATGTGTAAACTACAATCATTATGGTAATTAATAATGGTAAAAGTATAGCTAGTTGCTTTTTTTTAATAGAAATTTGACAATTTCAACGCATCTTCCAGTTAATTCTCATAATACTGATTCCCCCTCTTCTCTTTTCGTTTTATTTTTCAATACTACTCTTATTGAATAAGTAGTAATCATTTTTATCTCTATTAATTGTTTCTTTCTATGCGTGTATAAACATGTTAGTATTTGTAGGTGTAGATGTGAAAAATATTTCTTGATTATTTCTCTGTCTGTCTGTCTGTCTGATTTATTTTATTTTACTTTTTTTTCATCGTGTTCTGAAATACTCTTGTCTCTTTTCTTCTTTTTCATATTATGAGTGAGATGAAAATGAAATAGATTTGAGCATACTGATATCCTACTGATTGGCATGCTTAGTAATAATCAATCGATTAGATTTATACTTTTGTTGTAATATACAGTGGATTACTCACAAAGGAGCACAATATTAGTTAGGTTGTTTTGGCTTTTGATAAGAGATACTGGTAATTTTCAATAGATTTCTTTGTGTTGATGAACGTGTAGGGATGCGTGTAACAATTGCGTAATGTTTGATCAACCCTACTTAACTTGATGTGCTCTAGTACCTACCTGCTTAAGAAAACACAAAACAAAAGAACTGGTATTCAGGAATATATTTGAAGAAGCAATGTATTTAATTTAAGTAAATATAATAATAATGAATGGGAGAAAAGTTTAATCAACTTATCTGGCTTGTAAGGCTGAACTAGGGACTCGGAGTACGTGCGTGGTAACCAGCACTATAGGAGCGCAAAATGGTGTCCAAGCCTGCTCGGATGGATACTCGTTAAAACAAAACTTGAAAACATCCTAAGCATCCGAAGGCAAGCTAGAGGTTTATTTAGTTAATTTAATTTAATCTATCTATTTTAGCCCTAGTTATATTTTGGTGCCAGGAAGTGCACTACAAACTTATCATCTCTTTATATAGGCAATAGTAGTCTAGTTTTTCAAGTATGTTCCCAAGTACGCCGTCTTCTGGTTTGACCAAAAAGATATCCACCACCATAGGACTCAGAGGAGAACCCATTTCAACTCCATCCACTTGTCTGTATAACGTATATATCTATATATAATGTTTAAATAATACATAACAGCTAGTGGGTTGGTGTGTGTTTCCGAAGCTCACTGGGTTTCATTCATTCAGGAATGAACCCAAGCGTGTATTTACAGCATTGAAATTGGAACAAGTAGATAGTTTCTCCACACACACACACACACACACACACATTCAGATTCAAACCGTTACTTAAACTATAAATCGTCAACCCGTACGTCGGTTAAAGTTGGTTTGGTAAACTGACTAAGTAAGTAACAGGATCAGAAAGTTACTGGTAAGAGAGAAGATTTAAGACAGTAAAGTAAACACATTAAAGACACCCTTTCTCATCGATAATTACCCCTCGAAATAATTAATACTGCTCTTAATAATCGTAGTAAAGATATGACTAATATTAATTAGCTGTAAGTAGTAGTAATAATAATAATAATAATATTGATAATAGAAGTGGAAATACTCTGAAGAGAGAATTCAAAACCTCGACAGTATTACGTAGCATATAAAGAAGTCACCTCACAAACATTACGTACGATTTTTAATAAGGCTGAGATTAAAGCGGTAATTAAACTTACAAACTCACTTAGAAATAATCTTTGTAGGTAAAAAGAAAAGAGCCTACTGATCCAATCAACCAGAATAATTTAGATCACCAAACTCGGTGCAACGATTTAAGAGGTCGAATACATAAATCAAAGTAGTTGACCTGGTTTAATTAGGCTATCCAAGGACAACAACCTATTTAAGTCAAAATCGGTAGGTCCAAGTAAGATATAGAATTTAGAAAAAATCTCTGGCATACCTATCCATCATCCAATTACACACCAGTACACAACAGAATAGGAAAGAGTGACAATCGTTAAAGGATAACTTATCAGTGTGGAGGCAGAGATTGGTAACTATACCTTTGTTTATTGAATCAACACCTAATACAACATACAACAGGGATGACTGTTCCAGATGTATGAAAAATCTAATTAATGAGGTTAGAAACTATATAAACCATATGGCGTTATCTTAATATGACTATAGTCAATAAATTATGACTGAAATGTAATCCAGTAAATAGTACCGCTTCACTAGATGAAGTGAAACGGAACATGTTATATTGAAATAAGTTTTTTTCAGAAATGGGGCTTAGAACAGGTGATCTAATCATAATATTATCGAATGAATATGTGGGAACACATAAAGTGTGTTATTTCGTGTTAGTGTGTGTGTGTGTGTGAGAGGGCTTTAGTTAGTGAAATACCGGTGGTAGAGTAGACAATGATGACGAAGCTAATGCCACTGGTTACAGAGATTGAACTTATTTAACCTGATAGATTGCCTGTGTTTATAAGTTTATCGGACACCTTATTAACTGGACATCCGTCAAACGTTTAGAAATATACTACAATGAGTATCATTCCATTTTTTCGATTTGGAATACACTGAGAAGACCATTTGTGGATATCACACCCCAGACCAGGCTTTCGAGTGGAACCCACATGGGAAACGACGAGTTGGACGTCCGAGGTGAGGGTGACATGGAGGAGATCGTAAAGATCGCAAAGTCTCCGACAAAAGACTGAGCACATAAAAAACAACATCCAACTCAATAATTACCCACAAAAACAATAAATAAATTAATGAACAACCGAACGAAAAATATCAGTCATGGTAGACGTAAAAATACTAGTAGTGTGAGTAGTAGTAGTAGTGTGAGTAGTAGTAGTAGTAGTAGTGTGAGTAGTAGTAGTAGTAATGGTAGTAGTTTTATTATTAATATTTGTGCTATTAATTGTGATCTCCTCCACTAGCTGTAATGATGTGAGAGGATTAAGAGAGTATTTAGAGCCTCTGCTGTGTCACGGTACACGGAATACACCTCAGAATGATTACGATTATTTCGCATTAAGGCTGGCTGAGATTATGCTGGCGGGCATTGATACCAATAAACTCACTTGGAAACAATCTTGGTGAGTTGAAAGATCCTATCGATGCAAATAAGTGATCCCTTAAATACAAAGGTAAGTTATTGAAGCTAATTGCATTCTTAGGTCCCAATTCTTAAGTGCATTCTCTTTGAAGTAATGATAGATGGTGACCAGCAGTGGATGTGTATCACCTCTCATTTCTGATTTGTTCTGCTAGATGTACCACCTCTCAGTCAGTGGTGTGTCCCCACCAAGACTCGGACCCAGTATCGATCGCTCCACCACCAAATCGGATGGTGGGGTCAATCAATAGGCTGCATACTTTTTCTAGCTCTACAGACAAGCATGTCTCTAACTTTGAGGCAACTGGTATTACCTCAGTGACTCAAAGGTGAAGCAGTCAATACTGCTGACTCAGGACTAGAGATCTATGTGGGTTACTCACAGGTAAAGGACTCTTCAATTTTCAACTAGACGGAAGCAGAACATCGAACATGGTACAGAAACACTACAACCACTCTCTATGTTGAACTATGGGAGCAGTCTTGACCGATTCATTTCACGAAGTGGGTGGATTCAGATGAAAAATTAGTTTCGGTCGTTTTTCCATGTCTGACACAAAAATCTGTAGAATTCATTTAGTGACCATAATCCCGAAAGAGATGCGACTACGGAATATTTTCGTTTTCCCTTATTTTACTACTTACAAAACTTTGAGTAGCATAGAATCAAATCACGAACTTGTGGACACTATTTCTTAAGTTAGTATTCGCAAAATGTGTACGTGACAGAGAACTGTCAGTTTAAGAGATAAGAGTCAGAACACTGGTATATGTTCCTTTAGTAGGCCATGTACGATACCTATGTATGAAGGCGTTTGATCATCATCATTATGAAG